TTTTGAAATCATGTTTTAAGAAAAAATGATATCAATTTTGATAAAAAACTTTAATTTTTTTGAAAACATCGGTCAAATGTGAGCTTTAGAGTCCATCAAGATGAATTAATCATAAAAATCCTATGTATTTCGCTGGAGAAGTAAGTCAAGGTTAAGAGTTGACATAGGTTAAACGGACAGGGGTACTGCAATATTTGAAAATAATAAAGTTAAGCTTAAGCACACTCGGAAACGAGAAAATTTATATAAAATTTCGCCCGACGAGACAATTAATATATAGAAGATACAGGCAGCAAGAGACAGCGAAAAGTGAATGTAATTTAGGGTCATCCGTAAACCAGGCGCATAAGCATACACTATTTGCAGCAATAATAAGGGGGGAAGAGAAACTCGTTAATTTGAGCCAAAGATCACACTCATGCTTAGAAATGTAATATTGTGCCGTCCGATGCAAGTGGGCACTTGTGCTGCCGATAGTTAGGGGGATGTAATCTCCTAGCCAGCCATAAGTTTTAAATATAATGCATTAAAAAATATCAGATCAATTAAAGAAGGGGTTTAAAAATACCTGCGTCATAAACGGGATGTTGCTCCGTTAAGCAATTTTTTGTTTTCATCTTTGCACACATTTCGTAATAAGTGTAAAGCAATCGCCAATAAAGAAGAATTCCATTTAATATTCATAAAAATTTTCTGGTCAGAAAGTATCGATTTATCAAATGATAGGGCAATGACGATAGCAACATCGACAAGAAGATTCAGGCTGCTAAAGAAATGTGTGTGTGGAAATATACTGTCTCTGAGACGATATTTTTTTCTTGTTCTCGCTATTTTGATACCTATCAGCGACCATGTTCCCGACGTGACACATAAACTGAACTGCTAGGAAGAATTATTTGGTATTGCAAACATACTAGGGACTATCAGAAGAAAAGGGTGGAGAAGGATAGGGTGAAAAAATTGGCGAAACGTAGTGCGATTCAACGTGAATACAGAAAGGTTTACTTTGGAGGCAAATTTGTAAGGGCAAGAGGATTGTGAGGGTTAAGAGACGATGTTTTCTCGTATACGACGAGGAAAATTTTGGGTAACTGAAATTTGGCTTGGTCTTCCAAGCATGTTACACGAAAAATAATCTGAAGGATGACCTTAAGAATGATTTAAGATGAATAGATCGAAAAGCGCCCATATATCTCAGATCGCCCAGTTTCTCATGTTATGGATAGCGGAAAGATGGTGAGAGAAGGCGTATATCACGTTTCGTAAGTTCGTAATGCAAACGCTCCCTATGAGCATGACTTTGTAAGCAACATCTAACAACACATTTAAATCTGTGGTAGCCCTTCGGGAGTTCATTCATATGGCATTCAAAAGGAACGACATCAGGCACATACATCGACACCATGAATAAGGATCTCTCTCTGCTCTGTCGTGCATTCATTGAAGCGATTACAACGACGAAAATCATTAAGGTTTGTATTAATAATCTTTTTACACTTTTCCGTTTGAAGTGTTTTCAAAGAAATAGAGAATTTTTGCATTTTGCGTTCCACTTACAAATCATGGAGATTATATTAAATTTATTGAAAGATTTGATATAATGCGTATATGAATTATAAAACTTATTTTAAAATTTCGTTTAAATACTAGCTTGAATTTGGGTTAAATCTTTGGCCAACCTTAAGGAACGATATCTATAATTTTTGATCTTTCGCTAAGCAAATTTTTGTCATCGTATTGACTGCTTCGATGCACTTATGAACGATTCTTTACTTAGATGATATGGCAAATTACGTATAAGGAAATTCGAATTTGCATTTTCTAAATGCAGGCAGTAAAGGTGTTTAATAGTTGTTATTAAACTATAGCATAACTATAACCTATTAATGACGCTATATATATATATATAGCTATATGCTGTAAAGGTAATAGCATGTTTTTGTAAAAATACTTTACACAAGGACACCTTTTTGATTTCTAATATCCAGAGAGTTCAAAAGTACTTAAGTTATAAACGCTTTGCAATAGATTTTCATTCATTTTTGTTGATAATAATGTCGTATATTTGTGAGTATTTGGGATTTAACACGGTTTGCATGCTTTGCATACAATTTTTAGTAATTATTATTATTAATAAAAAGATTCAAACATGGCTTATAAATGGAACATAAACTGCAAATATTTAAAGATCAAAAAAAAAAAAAATTTTTTTTTTGCCTTTCAAAGTTTTGAATGTGTTTTCATATATATATATTTTATATTTAAGTTATCTAAGTGAGGCTATGTGTTTAAGGCCCAAGCCTTTTTGCGAAAGCTATTTATTAAAAATACCTTTCTATGGCGGATGGTTATAATCATCATCATCATCATCATCATCATCATTTGACGAAGAAAGTTTCTCGTCCTTAAAATCTTTTAAGGTTTGGAAGCGAATAGAGATACAATCATTTCATAGCTTGATTCTCTCAATTTTGTACACCAATTATTTTTTCCCTCTAGTAAGCGAAGCTGCAGCGATAATACTCTCCTTAGATTGGTTTACCGACTCGTAGTCAATCAGCGAAATAAGTATATCTTAGGAAATTGATGGCAGGAGTTGAAGAACGGGATACATTAATCCTATTTATGGCATAGGCGGTAAACCCAAAATGTCTCATCCATGTAAATACTTTTAAGGTAAATTTAAAATTTATTGAAATTTCGTCTGCATATATATGTATGCACATATATATATATATGTATAACTGAATTTCAATTCTATTAATTTCATTTAATTTTCTTCATTAGTAAGTGAAAACCCAATGTATATATAAATTGTTAATTTTTTCTAAAGTACACTACAACAATCATTCCAGTCAACGCAGCAGAGCAGAGATTTGTATTTATGATCCTGTGATATGCGCTAGACGAGACGTACCTTATAAAGCTTTATTAAAATTTCCTACGGATTCCAATTTCTTTGCATTGAAAAAGTTTTTGTACCTCGCAAACCAAAGACTGTTTCTAGTTTTATTTCTTAATTTGTTGAACCTAATAATTATTTACGTTGCATAACTTGATCAAGTCGATATCTTCACTCTGGTTACTTGCGACCCAATTTTATTGATATTCTCGAAAGACCCTTAGTGCGTTTATATTCTCCGATATACCTGGGGCAGGATACATTAAGTTGTGTGGATGTACGTAACATCGAGAAGTATTTGAGAAAGGTCCATTGATTATTATAATGATTCAATCAGAATTGTTTTCTAAATTACTTAAAATTTTTCTTTCTATCCGTCTTTGTGTATATGCGTTTAACCCATAGGTCGGAATTTTTGCGATATTTTGAATTTTGAATATTTGAGTGTGAATGAAAGTTATATCAACAATTTTTTGGCAGGCTATAGTTATAGGTTTTGATTTATGACTGCTGCAATGCTCTTCTGTTTTGAATCATTGCATCTTTTTTGGAAATTTGTACTAAAATAATTTCTTGAGTGGCGCTCAAGGCCACCTAGCATATATAAGGCATATATTAGGGAGTGGAATAAGACAGCAGATCATATATTTCAGCAGCCAACTAAGTTTTCAGATTTTTTTTTGATTAATAAAAACTTTAAAATTTCAAGGGAAATATGAACAACGGTTTACCCAAACCGTTGCTCATTATCACTTCTCCTATCTTTTAGTAGAAATATGAAGCTCATGCGAGAAGGCTAAATGCCGAGTTGAATTTGTGCAAAAAAAAAGACCCTTTTTTTGGGGATTGTAAAAGAAGTAGAGACTAAGTCATCGATTGTGAACAGAGTGAACAGGGAGCAATGTCAGCTAATAGTAATAGGAATCAAATCAATCATTTTTGATCATTATAAAAATTCACGATATTATGATTGTTGGGAGGTTACGCCCGTTTTTTAATCCCGGTTAAATTCGTTGTTGCAAGTAGCTTTCCCTATTCATTCGATTGGAACAAATTATAACTCATCTTATGCATCTAGCGACTGGGTAAGCAGTGCTTGTACCTTGTTCTTCGAGATGGTAAATTTGTGAGAGTCAGGCGGAATTCATAATAAATGAACAGGCTGATCGGACTGATTAGACTACTCTTAATAGGTCTTAGGAACGCGAATGTAAAGCTCTTCTGTAACAAATTCCTCACATCACATTCTTTGAATCAATCCTTCACATAGCCAAGCGCTGCATTAGGCAAACCAAAACGCTGGAGAGGTTATGATTTGAATTTTTTTCGTTTTCTTTGCAAGTGAGATAATTTTGAGCAAAAATGTACAATTAAATTATATTACTTTAGCTTAAAGACAGCTGGGAACTGCTGTTTTTAAATACTTTGCACATATACTGCCATCAATCTACCGCAGGCCGCATTTGGTTATTTGCATATGTATGTAAACATGCATTTAAAATAAAAGCACTCATTAATTAATAAATAGCATATACATCTTATTTTTCTTTCCTCTTAATTAAAAATCTGTTAATTTTCGTATCATAAATTAAGTGATTGAATATGAAGATTTTCTCTTGCATATAGAGACAGTTCCATTGAAATTAATTTCATAATTAAAGTTTTATAAAATCATTCACATTGTATGTATGTTATGTAATGTAATGCGTAATAATGAAAGAATGAATGTTTTTTATGAACATTTCTTAAATAAGAACATTTTTCATTTCTGTCCGTCTTGTTACCTTGGAACAAAACCTTGACTATCACTGACCTTATATATGAATAATAGGGTAATAGGCTGTTAAGAACCATGTGTCTATTAAAATTGTTTACAATCCCATTCGATTTGGTTTGATTTGTTTTCAATGCATATGCATTCCGACACATAAATACATAAATATGGACAAGAAGTTATATGACAATGGATATGTCAATCTATAAAAATGCTGATGTGCGTCTTTTATTTTATATAAATGTAGTGATAAAGTCCGAATTTATGGTAAACATAATTATACGAAAAATGTCATTGGTTCTTTAGCATGGCTTCGTCGAGTATTTCATGAGGCCTAAAGCTTAAAGTGTCCGCCAAGGATAGTCTTTGCTTCTTAAATTACTTTGAAACATGGGATTGAGTTAGGTGCTAAAATATTCGTTTTGAACTATATTTGTTGCTTTTTGTTTTTGTTTTTTTTTGAAATTGTACCATAAGGCTTAAGTAATAATAAATTCATCGTAAAGCGATTTTTAAACCTGAATAATGAAGTAATTATTAAAATTTAATTGAAATGCGTGTTTTATATTATGCACACATCTGCATATGTGTACGTAAGTGTGCATGTTGGCAATAGAAATCAATTCATTGGAAAACCTATTTATGTATAAAACATTTCAATAAAAGTCAATGAGTTGATTTTAACGAATTCTATATATCTGCTGGTAGAGTAACGTAATACTCTGTCATTGTCATTACGTTTGCAACATTTTTCACGAAAACAAGGATACATCACTTCATAAAGCAATTTATTTCTAGTTAGTGCGATTTGTGATTCGGTGTAGTCGAACCACTTGACGATGCGTTATTACAACTTTATCGTAGGCTGCTGCCTCTATACACTGTACTTTTAATAAATTTTCATGAAAATTGTAAGCCTTCAAATCCCACAGAAAGATTTAAATGTACAAAGTTATAGTAGATTTTTACGAAGACTTTCAAAACTACCGGCCAATACGGACTTTATTGTTCATTCAGATAGTCTTGATAAAACTTTTGATCATAGCTTATTGTAGGTTACACGTTATTTATAAAAATTCTTTGAATTCGTATTCGGGAGTTGTTTTAGTAATTGCGAACACATTTCGCTGGCGGATCGCGCCTACTTTTAAACGAGATTTGATTGCTCCAGTTATGCGGCATTTATAATACTCGTGTTGATTTCATTAATTTCAATCAAATCGTTTCACTTTAAATTACTAGCTGTTTTTTGTATTGCTTTCAAACAGATTAAATGATTTATTTCATCCTATATATATATATATATATAAATGGTTCTTGTTTAAAGATACGAATGTATAAAGATATGCGCAGAAAAAGCACAACAAAAAAAATGAAAAATTAAAAGCAAAAATTATTGATAAGTGATGGCATAAACAATTTAAACTTCTGCCTGCTGTAGAGGCCGTGTAGAGGGTTTATATCAGACGATTACATAACTTCGTGACTTCTTTGCGTCAAAATTTATTTTATTTATTTTTATTATACGTTAACTGAAGTTTATTAATATCGAATATCGATAATTTTTTACCATCTTTTCTGGCATACCCATGCCACATCATCACCGCAGAACGTCGGGAAGAATTCAACCGAATGTTTATTAAACAAAACTTTTTTGAAGCCAGTTTTACGCTATTAAGGCCGCTTTGCAGCATTAAGTGACGAATGCCAAGTCATTGAAGATATGCATGTGATTTGTCACTGCGGTGCTGGAAGATGACACCTTTGCTATTGGTTGCTTGAGGACGCTTTATCTCAATTGCTTTATCTCTACGTAATTGTTATTGGCAGAACAATCAATTCCCTAGCAAAGTTTGAGCAGCACACAATCCACAAATTCCTTCTGATCGCTGCCAATGTAATATATTACCTTATGCAGCTTTAATTCCGGCTTGACAATCGTTTTTCTCGCCATATTTTAAAATTTGCAATATTTTCCAAAAGTGCCGCACAAGTGAAAAGTGAAAAGAATACAATTCAGACGACTTCCGGTAGCATTTCTCTTTGGGCCGGAATATGTTAAAATATTTCGAGGTTTTGCGATCTATCGGCATTGCAGCACAAAAATAAATGGACAAACGCAGACAGGAAGACGGCTATAAATCGATTCAACAAACAACTATGAATGAAGTGACATGGGAGGGTCAGGCTGTTGCAAGTCCGGCTAATATGTGGTAACTCTACTTTGCCTTTCCTTCCCGCTAACATTTAAAAACAACTCATGAATTGAAAAGACATCATTTTATGTTTTTCTTTATTAAAAAAAAAAAAGTTACTTTCTGCTTAAATTATAATTCGTTGTACTACTTTATATCGTTTAATTCTAAAGGTTTAGTCACGTTTTGAATAAGTAATAGAGAGGAATAAAAAAAAATATCCCACCCACGATTACATTAAATTATAATAAGCAACGTATTCAAGATGCGTATGCAATATTAATTTCCAGAATATTTGATTAATTTGGTAAATTATTAGCTTCTCAGCTCAGTAGGAAAAATAAAATATGGGTAATAATCTTAAATAGGCTTTTGCATATCTTTCTAAATAAATTTAATAGAGGCTGTCATCTACTATATTACATTTATTGAAAGACATTGGCATATAAACTCTATCAGTTAATGTGCATCGAATACAAACGAAGGATCGGAGTACAAACATTTTGTCAAAATATTTGCAAAACTCAGAAGCAATCTTCAGAGATCCCCTGAAATGTGTATAATGTGTCGATAAGCATCATATTTTGAAGCATGACCGACTGTCTCGATATCGGTCCGTCAGTTTGTGCAAAGGCGGCTTTAAACAATTTCGATTTCAAATTTGGCAGACGTATCTTGCCAATGTGGTGGATGGTAGTGAAAGTGGGCCAAATAGGTCTGGGAATATGCTTACAATGCGATATGAACTAAGAACACCTCTGTGTTCTGGGTCTTTTGCTTATTGCTGACAAATTACAATAGACGCACGATGCACATTTCCCCAAAATATTCTATAAAAATAGAAATAATCAGCCACACCCATCTAGTTTTGTAGCATATAAAAATTCAGTTTTTTCGCTTTTTTCTACCTTTTTTTAGGCATAATCTTTCGACTTATTCCTAGGCAGTATGCGATTCAATTAGGTACTGTTGTCTTTTCAGATGATGCATTGAAGTTTATTATTCGATAGTTGCTTGCAAAAATTCGAATTTTGTCTCGATAGAAGTCATTAGACGGCTTAACAAACAAAGAAAACAAGTAAGAAAAGAGTATTCGACTGCGACTGAGTCTATCGTAAGCGCTATCTTCATGACAAAAAGGTGAAAAATTATATTTCAGTATTCGAAAAAACTCGATGAGAGTAAGTGCAATTTTGCACTCTTGTACGGGCACTGTAGTTTCATGCAAGGAATACATAGATATTTTCATAGGTTTGTCTCTTCTGTAATTTATGAGTATTGCAGCCATGTTCTTGACCCACTATTTAAAGGTTGTATAATAAATTTTGCTGGCGACAGTATGTTCGCCATCAAACAAGCAGACGTACAGATATGCTTAAATCGAATTAGAATTTGATGTCAACCAACCAGTAGTACATACATTTTTTAAGTTCTGTGAAACTTTCTTTGCAAACATTTTAAAAAGTTGAACGTATCATCAATATATAACTATCGATATATTGCAGGTGAACGACTTTTTAAGCAGTCAACCTATTTGACTTGCATATATTTGCAATTAATTGTAAAGAACTCCAACTCCATTATCTATTCGTATCGCAGAGCTTCCAAAGTGATTGCGAATTGAACGATGTTTTCGGAACGGAAGAGATGTAATTTTCTGCATATCTGTAGATCTCTAAACATATGAGAGCGGCATACGAGTTGGAGAGCGGGAGAGAGAGAGAGACGAAGACTAATTCCGTTGTCCGTTCGCCTAATAAAACCCTGGAAAAGATTTCAGCTAGAGGGACTTCCTAAATGCTTTCTGCGTAGATATTAGCCTAGAGAATTGTTTCGATATTTTTCCCGTTTGGCAATCGGTCAAAAACTGAAAAGAGTAAGCTACAAATTCAAGTCTGAGCGCATAGTTCTTCTAGTTGAGGTTCATATATGCAAAACGCAGGCTGAATGCTTCTGTAATTATTAAAAAGCAACAACAAAGTTTAAATTTTCGAAAATTTTAAAAATTTTCTGATAAGTTATAGTCTTGCAGCAGATGTGTGTTATTTAGTATAACTAACATCCGAATGGCGTCGATCATGTGACCGAAGACACTTAACAAAAAGTGTTTTTGCTGTGCTGGCTTGACGTGACGTGCATTTGCAATTTGCCTTGGAAAGAGAATTTCTTAGGTATTTAGTTATGGCTGCTACTACTCTTTGAGGCCTTTATAAATTCCTTGTTTTTTACAAAGATAGATCTTTGCTTTATAGGAGTTAAGTTTTCATATTAAAAGCTTAATGTCGATTGGATGATATTTATAATAATATCTGACTTAAAGTATTCTCGCATTTAATTTAAAGAGATTTCAAATTTGCTGTTATTTTGCCTAATGAAAAAAATATTGATAATATAATAATTTTATAATATCTTAAATAACTTAACAACTCTTGTGCAGAGCAATATAATATGTAATCGAATAATTCAAGCAGAAAGTGTTTACAAGCTCTGATAATTTTTTTTGTACTTGTCCAACAGCACGAACTCTTTGATCAATCAGGCTTCAAAATATGATAGAAATGGAGGAATAAGTAGCGATAGCTAACAACTTATAATGTTTTTACATTACATTTTACACATCAACTGCACCGACAATAGAATAAAAACGATGGAAGAGGGAGATTCAAAGTAAAACACATTAAATGCAATTACACAAGAAGCTAACAGCAGACCGGCAACCGTTAGAGTTACATTGTTCATGTTGCCTTCTTTTTTTCATTCCATTTTGATTTTTTACAGGAGTATGAAGATATACTAAAAAACTATTGCTGCATTTGAGAGACCTCTAGTTATACGTAGATAGAAGATTTTCTAAAAAGTATTAAGCCTCATGAACATTTGCATGAAGTAATATTTATATCTGATGAATTAAGCCAAGTGTCTCGTTGAGCCAAACAACTTAATAGGTAAAGAGCGGTCGAGTCTGAAGTTCCGTTTGTTAATTTTTTTTAGAATTGTTGCTTAAAAAACCCATCATGTTTCGTGAATAAAATTTGTACATGCACTGGACAGACTATTGAACTTTCAAGATTAAGACTAAAGGGGATAAAAATTGCTCTTCATTTTCTTAAAATTGCATCTAGAACTGAGAACTACGTTA